GCGTGTCCCCAGGGCGGTCCCCACCCCGGGGCCGCCACTTTCCCACTTATTTCTCAGATTTCCCACCGCTGGTGGACCGCCCAATCCTCATTCCAGGCTCAGGATTAGCCACAAAATCACGTCCTGCCCTAAATCCTGGCTGCCAGCTTGCACTTAACATTTCCAGCGAGGCGCGATACCATCTCGGGAAGCTCATCCAGAGCTGGCAGGACCAGCCCTCCCTCCGGGCAGATGTTGCTCCGAGCCCTTCCTTGCCTTTCCCACCAGGAATAAACACCATTTTCCCTAAAATCCCCCCTGGCTGCGCACACACGAGCAGCACATGACCCGCAAAATTGGCCTGTCACGCTAAAAGCCCATCAATCCCCGAGATTGACCGGGAGATAGTGATTATCCACATTGTTTTCACTCGAGGAGCGAGACGAGGATAAATAATTGGTGCGCTTGTCCTGGATTTCATCCCGAAGGTGCTGATATCAACCATCTCCAGCCCAGCTGCCACTCTGCCTCCGCCCCAGCCTGCCAGATGAAGTGCCTGAGATGGAGCTTGATAAATTCTCCCCTTCTGGATCTCCTGAGATGGGATCTCCGCTCCTGCTCGCTGGGAAGGAATGCAGATGGCCGGGGAGGCAAGGGGAGGGGGCTGCAGCTTCCTCCCCCCAAAATCCTCCCTTAATTCCCATTGTTTCCCTGCGCAGCTTCATCAGCTCGAATTCCAGCGTGAACCTGGAGCCTTCCTGAAATCCCCACGTTTCAGCCGGGTTTGCAGCGCAAACTTCTCAAACTTGGGGTGCTGGAACATCCCGGGCTCTTGGAGCCCCAGGGTTTGGGGTGTCCCTGGGGGTGCTGGAACATCTCAAGCACTCGGAGCCCCGGGTTTTGGGGTGACTCTGGGGGTGCTGGAACATCTCAAGCACTCGGAGCCCCGGGTTTTGGGGTGACTCTGGGGGTGCTGGAACATCCCAGGCACTCGGAGCCACAGGGTTTGGGGTGGCTCTGGGGGTGCTGGAACATCCCAGGCACTCGGAGCCACAGGTTTTGGGGTGTCACTGGGAGCTGCTGGAACACCCCAGGCACTCGGAGCCCCGGGTTTTGGGGTGACTCTGGGGCTGCTGGAACATCTCAAGCACTCGGAGCCCCGGGTTTTGGGGTGTCCCTGGGGGCTGTGGGAACATCCCGGGCTCTTGGAGCCCCAGGGTTTGGGGTGTCCCTGGGAGCTGCTGGAGCATCCCAGGCTCTTGGAGCCCCGGGTTTTGGGGTGACTCTGGGGGTGCTGCCCTGCAGGTCCGGCTGAGGGCAGGGAGAGGCTCCAGGGGTTTCCTCCTGTCCCCGGGGAATTCTGCCATTCCTTGGACAGGGCCATGAGCTCTCGGCCCCACCTCGAGCACAGCTGGGACAAAATCCAGCTTCCCTCCATCTCTGAGCCCCTGAACTGTCCCATCCCCCCAGAACTGCCCCATCCCCCCAGAACTGCCCCACC